GTTTTTTGTTTGATCATCCCCCCCCCCCCCCCCCCCGCCATGTTCACACTTTCCTGTTCTTTAGCAAGGAGTGAGTGTAATTGTCTGCATAGTCATGCTAAGCATCTTTCAAATTTTTTTTTTTTCTTTACCCTGTAGATTGGGGAGCATGGCTGCTAAGAAACTAAGAAGAGCAAGGTTGTCTCAGGAGCTGTGTGAAAGGCTGAGTCGCCATCAGATCACCACCTGTCAGGTGAAAGGCGTTTTTTGTTTCTGGGGGATGTTTTTGGGGGGCGTTCCATGTTGGGATTTTTTTTCGGTATTTTTTTTTGTGGGGGTGTATTTTAATGTGTGTACTGCTTACTTTTTTGTAGTTTAATTTACAGCGAGCTTTACTTTCTAGAAAAAGTAGAAGACATTTCAGACTCGATCTGGCCTGCTGCCTTGTAAAAATATAACTTTAAAACGATAGATGCCTAATTAAAATGTTTAGACTTGTACATACTTACTACCTTCACTTCTAAAGAACCTGAAGATGCTTTATTTTAGCAGGGGTGTGCAGCTACTTGTGTGGAGTAAGAGACCCATTTGTGAACACTTCACAAAAACACATGTATACTACATAATGTAGTGTATGAATATGCTGTGATATTATACTATCAGTTATGGGTTGATACAGCAGTATATTCTGAGGTTGTCCTTATGAGTCTGCACCTGAAGAGAGCCAGGATGCCCTATATGTTTCAGTAGTATGCATCATAAATAGATGATCTACGCCTAGGACTGCAATCTAGAAGACATGATGTATTTTGAATGTTTTTCAGGTAGAGACTTTTGTGGGCAAAAAAGGTGTTATCTTGTTGCAGTTCCATCACACAGTTCTTGAATGTTTAGTCCTTTGACTCCATGTCCTTTAAACTATGAATATAATTTCTTTTGATATACTGGTGTCAGAGAAAGGTAGGAGAGGTATAGCATAGTAGTGTATAACATGGCACAGCTGGTAAACCTGTGGAATGTATACTAGTTGTGTATAAATTGCATCAATTTAGTCCCCAGTCTTGATTTCTAGATCTGAGCTCTCTGAACTGTTCTGTCATCTTTCAGGACTTTTTATGTCTTTCCCTCTTGGAGCTAATGAAAGTGACGGGACAGAGTTACTATGATGTGCAGAAGCTTCTTTGTAAAGTCAGCCGAGCTTGTGCTCCCAAAATGCAGACAGTAAGTATGCTTGTGTTGATTCTGGTTTTGATACAGTATCTGGGAAAAAGCTAAAGAATGTCACTCATCTTTTTACCTGGGAGGTTTGTGATGTCTCAGTTTGATTGTGCAATGAAATAATACGTTATTTTTAAATTTAGATCTCTGAGGCGCTTTAGTTTTATGCAGTGACTTTTGTTAGGCATTATAGCCTCAAGAGATTGTTCAGGCTTGCAGAATCAGTTCTGAATGTAATAGGGAAATACAGCATTCTCTTGCAATCAGGCATATAAAAATTGCTTCTTGTTTGGACCCTGCAATTTAAAAGAAAAAAGCATTGTTTAATGCAAGCAAAGAATAAGAATTTCAGTATAAATTAGTTTTAGACATAAAATTGGTGCCAAGAAGTGAAGTGATCCTGGAAATAACTTCTTGAGGATTTTTTCCATCCATGTAAATATGCTGATTTAGGCTACAGGTAGCTTAACTGGGGAGAGTGCAAGAAGGAAACAGATGTTACCTGCAGTACAGTGGCTGGATTTTGTCACCTTTTTTTTTTTTTTTAATTTGGGTGAAAAGATGTCAAAAATGGTGTCTTTTTAGAGCAGAGAGGACATGGACAGTTCTGACCTGTGTCAATGCAGCCTGCTTTTTTTCCTGAAAAAAGTAAGCCATGTCAAAGTTTGTGTAATTTTTCATTCACTTGGATTCCTGATTTAACAATTTTTTTACTGAAGACAGTCTGGTTCAACCCTAATTTTGTGCGTTAAATACAGAAATGACTGGGTAAAATTTTAGGATCCATGTTAGGCAGGAAAGCTAGACTAGAATATTGTTTCCATGATCTACAGGGTTTGTTTCCAGCCTGCAGGGTTTAAGTCCTGTGAGAAGTTAAACAAAAAATGATTAAATTAAAATATGTTGCAAATACTTCTTCATCAGTACGTGTGTTCACTCTTAAAATGAATCTGAGCATAAAGTCCGATCCCATTTGAGTGAGGTAAAATTAATTGTTTTTTGTCTTGGCCTGTTCTATGTCTTGAAAGCTATTTTTTTGTATATTTCTCCTCAATAGAACTAAAGAACAGAGAAGGTCTGAATGAATTTCAAATATTATTCTAATATGCTACCTGTCATAACATAGGGAAGAACTGTAACATTAAAAAAAGGAATACACAAGCTATCTTATCTTAGCCTGTTGGTAGAACTAGCTGGAAGCTTTTCTGATCAACTTCAGCAAAAAATGCTCACTTGTTGGCCCAACAAGTATGGACTAAAACATCTAGGATTCAGTGGTGTGGTTATTTACTTAGTTATCGATGGTTCCTGTGGAGGTGCTTCCTTAGTACACCATATGCCCAGCAGACTATCTTAAGACTGGGCTAAATCTGATGCCTGCATTTCTCTTGGGCATAGAGAAATCAGGTTTTCTGGAGCGGTCAGTCATGGCAGGTTATGGTGGTACACTGTGACAGGGCTTGGAGAATATCTGTTGTTGGGCCAGGAGTCTGAAACCTCTGGGAACTCTGAACTATAACTAGAACAACAACCTTTAGATCTTGGACTGTTCTTTTCAAAAATCAAATTTCTGATATTCAGAATGCTCAGTGGTTGAGGAATGTGTCAGTTTTAGCAGTTGTCTGCAAAGTCTGAGCAAGACCTGTTTCTTTTGGAAACATCATGTTTTGGTGTTTCTAGATCAGCATTTCCATTTTGTTATTTCTTCTTTGTCTAGTTTAAATTCATTCCCCAAATGAAAGTAATTCTTATGAGCTAGAATTCTGATCTTGGGCCAGTTCATCTAGTCAGAGTAACTAGGAATTCCAGCTATTTTCAATTCTGTCCTGTCTTCTTGATTAGTCTTCTTCACAAAAGTGGAAAATTATGAATGACTACAGGATCAGCCCAGGCTCATTCAAAGTTTTGGGAATCTTTAGCAAACCTTTCCTTCAACACAGGTTACTTCAAATTGGTAATGAATGCTGTCCAGGGAGTTCTTGGTTTTAGGTTTTATGTGAGGATTCTGCATTGGTTACTAAGCATACATTTAGTGTTTACTTATTTAAAAGTTGGAGTTTTATGAGCTGAAAGCAAGTGTTATTGAATAGGAGCAGAGAAAACCTTTGACACACCATTATTAAAGGCTTATTATTTAATATTGGGGTGAGGAAGATACAACAAACTTTTAAATTTACTATGTGAGCTATAAATGAGATATAAATATGAGGAAGGATGATGAGCTAAAAGAGGACTATAGCTGAAATTAAGAATAGTTTGCTCATTGGCAAGTGTTAAGGTTGATGAAAGTAAATGTGGGGTTTGCTATTTCCACTTAAAAAAAAAAACAAACATTTTCTGATTTCTGTGTTTGTTTTCTTTTCCGTTTTCCCTCCTTTTGTAGGCTTATGAAATGAAACTGAGGAAGTCTGTCAATCCCTCTTCAGCCTTTTTATCCACCACGCTGCATAGTTTGGATAAAGTCTTGCATGGTGGAGTGCCCTGTGGATCCCTCACAGAGGTAATTTGTTTAATATATTTTACTGCAGTTGCACATCACACCTAGAAGTCAAAAGTCACAGATAGGTTCAAGTGTCTTGTGTCAGGTGCTTTTAACACAAAATACACAAAAATTTTGGAGGAGTGCTTTTTTTCAATTGGTAGAGGCTGCAAATTTTTTTTTGTGTGTGTTTGTCTCCGCTTCCCCCCCCCGACCCAGCATGTCAGGTAAGTAAGGAAATGAAGGAATGAAAAAATTTGGTGACCCTAGTTTCCTATAAAAAAAAGTGAAAATTTTCCCAGGAAATTTGGGAGAATTGTTGGCTGGATTTTACAGTGGGAAAGGTGCAGTGTGGTTTTGTGGTCAGAGCACAAGGTGCTGAATCAGGAGTCTGTCCTTTAATACTGATTCACTCTGACTTTACGAAGTCATTAGTTTTTATGAAGGTACAATAAGCGATTAGGACAAAAGTGTGAAGCATATAGGCAGGAGAATGACTTTACAGAGATTTTACATATAAATGTAACTACTTACGCAATAAATACATAATGCATTCTTTTTTAAAAAGACTGTAATTAAGGCCTGTATTACATATGCATACATCGCAACACTACAAATTGCATATCTAGCTATAACTCTGTCACTCTCTGGACTTTGGATGCAGTGCTACTTTTTTGCTTAGAGTTTTCTTTTAAGAACAAGGGAGCACTTAATCTTCTAGTACCTGGATTTCTCTATGGCCTCACAGAAAGTGATAATACCTTGCATAGTTTCTATAATCTGGAAAGACGGGATTTTTCTAGATGCTCATAGGAGTCATTGAGCATTGTAAAAATACAAAGATGCAATCTCTGTCTTAGGAATTTCTGAGCTACAAATGGAGATGGAGAAACATATATATTGGAGGGAGTATCAATGTATGTGTGCCCTGTTCTCATGTTATTCCCCTAGCCATCTTTTGTAGGTCCTTAGTAGAGACAGAATCCAGAGCTAGATGGACACTGGTTTTATGCAATGTGGCCATACCTGCCTTTTTAAAGTAAAGTTCTGAACTCAGCTGTGCACTTGAAAGGAGTGGAAAAATATATATTGTGTGCCTCATGCTCTGAATTTAGACAGGTTGAAGCCATTTTTTTCCTTGAACGCTTTAACAGTCTTTACCTAGTGCTTTTCTTTGTCTACTGTTGCAAATTGCCACAGTAGAGGAGTAGAAGTGAGAAGTTACGAAAATCTTACTATGAGGAAAATATGTTTTTTCCACACCCTATAATCAATTACATTGGTTTTGATCTCAGATAGAAATCACTTACGAAATCCGATAGTGACTTAAAACATATTAGTGTTTAAGCAACACTGAGTTTAGACTAGTAACAGTTTCTGCTCTAGTAAACTCTTATGTAATGAGGGGATATTGCTTTTTAAAGATTTTCAGTATTTCTTTTTGTATATGATGTACAGGAATATACACCATTCAGGTCTTCATAAAAATGCTTAAGAACACATCCATGAACTTACATTGATCTGTCAGAATTAATATTTTCTTCATATTTAGGCCTAGCTTTGTTACTGAATTACTATAAGAAAATCAGGTGGAAAGAACTTAGTCTTAAGACGAATACTGAAAGTCTTTAAATTCTGGAAGAAAAGTCTTGCTAAATTCTGTTTCACTGAGGAAGAAAGAGCTGTTCTTATAAGTAGCAGTCTGATATGCAGGGTCCTGAGATTGTAACTGTGCTGCTCTTGAGGATAGTGCCTTCAGCATTTGGAGATGAGCTTTCGGTTCCTAAAAATATTTTTATCAGGAGAGCAGTGGCTGCACTAGGTGCAGTTTGACTCCTTTTCTTTTAGACTAATGTTCATGCAGTCAAGTGATGAAATAGCACAGCCAGTGTTTGAAAAGAAATGATGCTCACTTGCAGCTAGGATCTGGCTTTCCAGGATTTCCATCTGGTCCACTGACTTTTCCTTGGTCGAGGCAGAGAATGGCTGTTCACATGCTTATACTGCTTAAACTTCTGAATTGTGCTTCTTTAGTTGAAATGTAGAGCCACTGCAGCACAGGTAGGAAAAAGAAGTAGAATAGAGATATGTCTCTTCTGTGATGTGCCAGCTTGTCCTTGAGCCTGTGACTGGCTTATAAGTGGTGCCTAAAACAAGGATGTCACCCTTCTATACGTTGACCGAGATAACCCAGACTATTTTGCCCTCCTTCCTGTGGCTTGGCAGTTTGACTAAAAGATGGTCAAATTGTAAAAGTTTGCATTAAAGGGTCCTGGAATATTTTTTTCCCTAATTAAAAAAAAATAAGTGGATGTGATCCTTTTTCA